CCCGTTCCAAACGCGTGAATTCCGGCTCGGCGACTTTGACATCGGTCGACCACTCGGAAAAGGCAAACTTGGCAGTGTTTATTTGGCTCGCGTTAAGACAGTGAACTTTATTGTGGCGCTAAAAGTTCTCTTCAAGTCGCAACTCGTCCGAATTCACATGGAGCAGCAGCTACGCCGGGAAATCGAAAACCATGCGTACCTGAGACATCCGAACATCCTCCGAATGTATAATTATTTCTACGACGAGAAGTGCGTCTACCTAATTTTGGAATACGCAGCCGGTGGTGAGCTCTACAAGAAACTGCAGGAACGGGGCCATTTCGATGATGAACAAACCGCCAAGCTCATTTACCAAATGGCCGATGCGCTAAAGTACTGTCACAAGAAGGTTATTCACCGCGATCTGAAACCCGAAAATTTGCTGCTGGGCTACTGGGGAGAGCTGAAAATAGCCGACTTCGGATGGAGCGTCCACGAACCGACCTCCAAGCGATCGACGCTGTGTGGCACATTGGACTATCTACCGCCCGAGATGGTGCAAGGCTGGCTTCACGATGAGAACGTGGATCTGTGGTCGCTGGGAGTGCTCTGCTACGAGCTACTGGTGGGAAAGCTGCCGTTCGAACGCAAAGAAATCAGGGATACTTACGCTCTTATCAAGGAGGTCAATTATAAATTCCCGGAGAGCATCAGCGAAGGTGCCAGAGATCTGATCAGTAAACTGCTCGTCAAAGAACCCGCCAATCGTCTTTCGCTGCAGAATGTCATGGAACATCCCTGGATTTGTCAGCATGTCGATACAACTAGCAATCAAACATCATCGTCTGTTGCTTGAGTGAAAATCTATCACAAAATGAAATTCACCACTGTCTGGTGACATTCTCCTCAAACTTTTGAATTGTACAAAGAATTGCATATGATCTTACCGACTTACTGATCTGATCTTACTTATCGACGAATATATATTGTGCATGGAAGAATGAATTTTTGACTGCAAAATCTGCGCGCACACACACACGCACACACACACACACACACACACCCACACATGCACACACGCACACACGCACACACACAACACACGTACAAACACAAAAAAGCCTCCGGCGTATTTCAGTACCTATTTACCATCGAAGCGAATGAACGAATCGTACGGGGATCCATTCATTTCAGTACTCAGTTAAACAAAAGTATAATTTCTGTTTGGAGGCTAGTAAAAGAACGAAGCAGGAGATCGAGTTCTATGCGAAACAAGGTATATCTATCCATCTAACAACGTGGATTACCAACCCATCCCTAATGTTTCTCTCAATTCCTACTTATTTCTATGAAAATGATTAAACGAAGCGGAAAAATTTTGTGTGCATCAACTTTCTGGCTATTCTCTTCCTCCTCCCCTCCACCCCATTTCCCAGTTTGTATTGAAAAGCTTATTCATTCTCAGATGGGTTCTCAGTGCTGCTTCACACATAAAATGAAAATGCAGCGAACAGGTATTTCGCTGTGCCGAGCAATTATGAAATTTCTATAAATGCTAAATTGTGAGGCTACACAGGAACGAGCAATCCTTAAAGCCAGCGTAAATGCAAAGAAGACATTTCCATTTCCATTGTGCTACCTGTTCCTATTCAGTAGAAGTGAAACACGGAATACCATGCTTACTAATGAGAAAAAGTTAGCAGTGAACCATCCCTTGTGAAAAGCGAAACAAGGTAAGTGTCAGAAAATGCAATTCCTAATCTCGTACGGGCAATAGCATTCATGACAATGTACGCCAGGAAGAAGAGCTAGGCTGGTCATGTGGCAAAGGATGAGGTACAACTGATGGACTAAGCGCATTACTGAATAATGGTACTCAGGCACTGTTAAAAAGACACAACTCAGTCTGTGCTGATTTCATAGAAAACCTACCAAATCGTTTGCACAAGTTGTGAATTGTAGAGGCTCAAATCCAGCAGAACGGAAGGATGTGATGAATTCTGATATAAAAAGATTTAGAAAGGATGTAGAAAAATCCACCAAGACCGAAGGATTTGGATAAATAAAGGCTCAAAAAACAAATGAAAATATCAGCTGCAGCAGTGATGAAAGGAAAAAGTGTGATTATGATACAATAGATGAACGATGAGATCAAAATAATCTAACAAGACAAAAAGGTGCTATACCAAAATCGCCTCAGTAATTAACTATTTCATTATACTGGTGATCAAAAGAGCCATTTATATTAGCAATAGCCAAGGATTACTACAAATACACCAAATGACCAAGCCCAGCCCAGTTGTTCGAGTGGGAAAAGTAAAATATTATTTTATTATTTAATAAAAAAAAAATCATTTACAAAAAAGGTTCAGCCTATGCCACCACATTTAGCCTGGTTCTCCAAGTTAAATATTCATCGCTTACCTACTACATTTTTCATATTTTTCTTCTAAAAAGGACAAATTCTTTGTCACTCTATACCACATTTTATTCAGGACAAAACTACAAATGCCATTTTATGTCTATGAATTCCGGAGCAAATCATTCTGCGTATTTTTACAACGAATAGGCGGTGAGTAGTAACTGAAGGTATGCAGCTTAGGATTGAATTGCCTGGCATTGCTGAGCCTAGCTTACGCAAGCATTCCAGTAACATCACTAACATAGGATATCCGTCTTAATAAACAAATCGGTCTTGGCAGCCTTGATATATTATTCTACCTACTCCAGTTTATTTCAAACAACTAAAAAGACTGAAAGCAAAGGAGGAATTTTAGCTTTTAAAAAAAAGATATTTGCTTTTCAGTCAACGTTTTCCCGTTGTTTCTTCTCTCTTTCTCTCTCTCCTTCAACGACAAGTGTGTCCATCAAATTCTGTTAGCTGTGTAATTTAAAACCTGAACGAAAATAAAGAACCCCAAAAAAAGAGGAGAAACACTGCAAAACTCACTTCATCGTACATGAACTGTAGGGTTAGTGCTGATTTGCCAACGCCACCTGTGCCAACCATTATTACCTGAAATACGTCACGATGCAGAATCAGAAATAACACATAATACTACAAATGAATGTACAGATGAAAACTGTGGTAATTATGATTTTACATCAAAAACACAAGTACAACACCAATCTCCTCTTCCTTCTACTTTTATTATCATTATTATTATCATTACTATTACTGTTACTATCATCGTTATTTATCATTATTATTATAGCTACCGCTATTACTGTTACCATTATTATTGTTGTTGTTATTACTAATATTACTGTTGTTATTATTATCGATGTTATTTTTATTATTATTTCACTATCATTATTATTAATGCTACTTCGCCCAAAGTATCATTTTTAGTGATAACAGACTAAAACCGCGATAATTACTACTTAACAAAAAATTTTAGGAATGTGTCAATGAAACAGCACCCCTTTGCCGGTAGTAGATCCAGTGCCCTGTGTAACCTGCTATCATTCTCCTGTTAAACAGTCGTAAACAGTAAATTGTTTACTTAATCTACGCACTCCCCGATTCCTCCATTTCTCCTGTTCAACAGTACCAAAAGATCAAAGCTCAGTTTTTTTTTGGTGAAACAGTAAAATTTCTTCATTGAAAAATCCGAAAGTAGTTTTAGATTGGGAAATTTGATTAAAATTTGATTTGAAATTAGAAAATTTAATTTCCTCTAAATTAATGGGAATGAATTCCTTTCGAGGACTGTAATTTGTGGTGAGAAGGAGCGAAAATAAGACTTCGGCGAGGCTATCAAATAGGATAGAAGGTACAAGAAGTCCGTGCTGCTTCAACTGCCACTGACTGTGCCTTCTTTTGCAAATGGATATGAATTCGACTAAAATCGAACCACTTGTCTCTACATTCGCACTAACTGCTGCACCACGATTTGCCCTAGGAAGAGCAGCCTGGAAGGCAGCATGTACCTTTCTTTTTTATCCATCTTCGCATAGGCAGTATTAACATTTTTGCCGACTTTTCACTGTTTTTCCAAGACATCGTGCTTGCCTTTCCTACCCTGTAGGGTACAGCGGTGAGAAGGTCACGCATATTTTCCTTCGAGTTCCCAAAAGAGCAAAAGCAACGAAGGAAAAGAAGGTAGTTTTGGGGCAAAAATAACAGAATACAAGAAAATAACAAGAAGAAATTTAATGTTTGCCGTGTCTAACAAAATGTTTTACATTGTTTCAACTGCTAGTGCCACCGCCGTCCTATGGTTTAGCATACCGAACGGAGAGAACTACCCTTTTGCTAAAATAAGCAGGCAACCTTATTTAACAAAAAAAAGAAACCGATACCCCATCAAAGAGAACTTTAAATCAGAATTATATCTTTAAAAGTACGAGTTGATTTTAACGAATTCCCATAATCCATTCATATATTGCCCATAACACGTGTATTTTACATGTATTTTCAGCAAGCTGCTCACTGTTTATTACGAGCTGCTCGGATTAAATATGGATTGTAATACGCATGTGGTCCAGAAACTTCTACTGTAGTTGCCTGTCGCGGTGTAGAACTTTGTAACTGATCACTTATTCGTTCGCTATGTCATCCCCTTACTGGTGAATCAGTGTATTAATCCCAGAAAATTTTGCCTTTTCAATTGGGTATTAACTTTTTTGAGGTGCCTGCCCTGTTTGATGAATAAAGGTGTCTCGTGTCGCAAACGGGAGGACAACAATTGATGCTTTTAGCTATTTGAGGTGATGGTACAGGATTAAGAACATGGAAAACAAAACTGGGCAGATGCAGTCAATCGAGGAAAAAATGTCCAAAAAATTAATATATTGTCCAGGGAGGAAGAGATAACTAAAAGAAAGGTGTATGCTGTCTTAAAAGAAGAAACAAGAGAAATGCTCAAAAGTTGGTGGTGTAGTGGTGTGCACGGAGAAGTTCGAGCGTGAAGAGTGTTTCGATCCCCTCTAGATGAACACCTCTTTTGCAAACATAGCTTCGTTTACGATACGTCCAAAAGTGCTACAAAACCCCTTCTGGGAAAGTGCTCCATTATGACTAAACAAAACCTTCGGGGCCGCTTATTTACAGTTAACTTCACCAAAAATGCATCATAATAATCCGAAATCGCTAAATGTTAAAAAAAAAAAACTCGTTAATTGAGAAACCAACCTTGTGAACTTGTGTTCCGGCACCTCCAGCACCGGCGCCACCGCCGATGCCGCTTATTTTCTTGCCGCTGTCGCTCATTCGTGCCAAATCGCCAGGTCCTAACTCCGTAGCTACTTTTCCAGTAGCTCCACCAACGCCGCCACGCTCGATGTCACGATTTTTGCCAGCAGCTGCTCGTCGAGCACTGGGTGCCAAACCACACAGATCTAGCAAACTCATCGTGAACCAGGTTAACCAGGACCAAATATCCGCGCAACACTCTTTTGTTCGACGCCAGCAAAATTGCGCATTACTTCGCACATTGTCCATTCTTACCGTGAACGGGAAGAAGAGGAAGAGGAAAAGATTCGCAAGGAAAAATACAGCAAAATTTGACGAATAAAAGTACAAAACTGAAGTTCTGCCACTTCAGAAACGCTGTTGGTCAGCCAATTTTTCAGGCTTAAAATCGATCAGGAATATTCGAAAAAAAACCTCTTTTCTGAAGCTGGAAAGAGAGGGAGAGAAAGAGGAGCAGAAGCAAAACAGTTGCAGCAGATATTGCGAAGGCTGAACGAATTGAAATGTCAACAACGAATCAAGGACAAACGTAACACATTTCTCGAAAACCGCGATTAACAACCGATAGACCTGTAGTAATCGCGAAGGATTTCCAGTTTAAATACTCCTTCCTGGATATAATCAGTTCCGGTTTACACGTCTTCCTGGCGGCAAATCCGATCCCAAATCCCAGAAAATAACGCCGGAGTCTGGAGAATAAAGGAGTAATAGACAGTTAGTAGAGAAACCAAAGTTTCCTGATGCACACACTTTCCGGATCAAATGCCAGAAATGGGACCAATCTCGAATTCCAACGAAATATTTCCAGATCGCAAGCAGTAGCACAGTCCGTAATTTTGTTGACAAAAAATCTTGAAACTTTTTTTACCGGATGAGGCGGTAAAAAGATGCGCTTGATTTCCTGGACTCTTTTTGGATCAGATATTAGCAGTGCGGCAAATTTTGGAGTCCGAAGAAACAATATCAAACCAAATCACAGGCACTAGAAGCGAGCAGTACAGTCAGCGACAAATACAGCACAAATTTCTTGCAGGTGGTACCAGGTAGGTGGAGGAGGAGGAGGAGGAGGAGGATCACACAGCGAACCGCAAGGCTATCGCACCGAATTGCTCAGCATCCATGCAACAACACAGAGAAGCAACACTACTAAAACTCCACCCAACCAGTAGCACATCCTGACAAACACACACCCACAGACACACACACACACACACATACACACACACGGACAAACATTCACAGACATACACATACACACACACACACACGCACAGAGATGACTGGCCTGATCAGATTAAAATTGCCCATAGAGGGGGGAAGAGAAAATCAGAAACAAGATAGACCACTCCGTGTTTCCAGACGAACAGGCACAGGAATACAGACACACGCACATACTGGGAAGCACGGAATTAACGACAAGCATTTTAGCAGTACCTAGATTCTGGATGGAACTAGGAATATGCCGAGGTGCACAAGAGAGCAGGGCTGTGGGGAAAGGGACGCGGGAGAAGGACGGGGGAGGGGGAGCGAGGAGGACAGGAACTGGAGATACATCCCATCCTGGAAAAGGAACAACGACAAATTACGGTTAATTACATAAAACGAAGAATAATTAGCGGAGTTCCGATGATGAGGAAAAACTATGCGGGAACCACGTTTTTAACAAACTGGGAACATATTATTATCGTTATCATTATTATTATTATTATTGTTGTTGTTGTTGTTGTTGTTGTTGTAAATGTTAATACCAATGTCACTACTCTTATTATTATTACCATTATTCTCATCATTGTCACTATTATTATCATTATCCTTATTACTATCATTATCATCGTTATTATCATTATCATTGCTGTTTTCATTATCATTGTTGTTGTCATTATCATTGGTATTGTTGTCATTATCATTTTATTATCATTATTATTGTCATTATCATTATTATTATTATCATTATTATTATTATCCCTGGTTTTTTCCCAAGACACATTTGAAATTAAAGTATCCAAGAAAGACTGAATTTTTACACCCAAGCAAGCAAACAGTGTTTTGAAACCCCAGAAAAAATTCTAAAAAGAATAAAAGTTTCAGATGCTTCAAAATTTGTAAAAAAACTCCAGAATTTGCAGGGAATTTCGCAGAGTCTTCGTAAACGATGGCAAAAACCATGTAAAATGCTTGTACAGCATTCAATCACTGCTGGCTTAAGCAATAAAGGCGACAAAGTTTGCACAACATCAGGCAGCACGACTCGGCACCAGATACTGTGAAAAATTCCTTGTCTCCCACTGTACTTGAAAAACATTCGGTAAAAAAATTTGTCAGATATTAGGCTTATCATTTTCAGGGGCATTTTACTTTGAAAATCGCAACACAAGGGCAAAACTTCACTTAGAATTTTCGCTGACTAAGCATCAAGGTTCGCAATGCTGCCCCATTGGATGCATTATTGGAGATTACATGAAGAAGAGTGGTTTCGATTCCCTTCCGTAGTTCAGAACAATTTTCGAGAAAGAGTTCCGTTCGCGTGTGCGTGCATTTCTGTGCATAAACAGTGAGAAGCAACACTACGATCGAGCAGAAAGTCGAGGCTTTGTTAGTGGACAGTCGATCCCTTTACGAATCGTTCATTCCTTTCAATAATAAACTGTTGCTGGCACAAAACTTACCATCAGCTTTGCTTATGTGCAACTCTTAAAAGAAAAAGCCGCTGGGCTTATAGAAAGGATTGTTGCTACTAGCATTTGCTACCACTCGGACTGCTTCGCAAGTGCCTTCGCTTCTCACAGGAAATGAATGAGAGGATTTTAACTTTGAATTTTAAACGAGCATTTAGACAAGAAACTTTAATGTTCCGAGAAAAAAGAGGCAATACAGTTTTCAGTTCTCCACATTTTGGAAAGAAGTTGGAAGATTTAAGGAAAAATTTGAAAAATTTCAGAAAAATTAAAAAAAATTTTTATCGGTTTGAAAAATAAATTAAATCTCATTTCAAAAACATATTTCTTTGAAAAATTTCAGACGTAGTGAAAATGCAAAAAAAAAAACGAAAGTTTCAAATGAATTAAAATTTCAGAAAAATTAAAAATTAAAAATTTCAAAAAATTAAAAATTTTTATCGATTTGAAAAATAAATTAAATCTCATTTCGAAGACATTTCTTCGAAAAATTTCAGACATATTGGAAACGCAAAGAAAAACGAAAGTTTCAAATGAGTTTGACAGATGAAAAGAAATGATAAATATCAATTAAATTTTGAAACTGAGCGATGCGTGGAAATGAAACTGAATGTGGCGGATAACAACGAGCCGCACTTACATCACAAATAACTAGTGCCCCATGAGGAGAACCAGCAAATGGAAGCAACAAAACGAGGCCAGTACACCACAGCTAAACCAGCCAATTCCAAACAAAAATCGATGCACTTTATACGAATTTGTGTAAAAATTGCGCTGAAAAAAAAAATTTGTAAAAGACCCTCCCGTCCTCCTCCTCTCTAAACAGACACAGACACATGCACACAGACACATATACATAAACACATACAAGCAAACGTACACACAAACACATGCAAACATACACACAGTCGTATACATGTGTACAAACATACACACACATCCAAACACGCATAGCTAAGCGTTTCTGGACCAATATTTGACTATGCTTCATAAACTGAAGATTTTTAGTCTCAGATAAACGATCGGCTTGACAGTACAAATCTAGTCAAAGTCAAAACTACATCGTATTCGCTTTTTATGCGAAGCGAAGGCACTCGAGAGACAAGCCAAGGGCAGCAACTTCTAAGGGGGGCCATTAGCTGGAAAAGCTATCGATGGCTCCTTTTTTAAAGGATTGCTTTAGAAGCAAACTGATGGCGGGTAAGTCAAAAACACACAACTCTGTAAAGTCAATCCAATCAATTCGAGTACAAAAACTAGTATTCGCAATATTAACTTTACCCTGGTACTTATCGTATACATGTAAAAAGGCCAATGGCTGGATAAGGCCAATTACATTACTAATCAACCGTGTTCCCTTACTATGAGCAACGGAAGCACTTGGAAAATAGCTCGAGTAGCAGCAAATACCAATAGCAGACGGTCGCTGACAAGGCTAGCGATGGCTCTCTTTTTCGAAGTTGCTTACAAGCAAGCTGATGGCGGTGTTTGTCTCCCTAACATATGCCAGTACCAATTTATCAGCGAAACAAATGAACGAATTGTAGAGGGATTAGTTGTCCCACTGGCGGAATTGAACTCTTAACTTTCCATTCGGAAAAAAGTGCTACTTCCCACTGCGCTATGCCCGACAACTCAATACCAATGTCATCAAAAACCATGTTAATTGCTGAGATTGACAACACCGACTACTTTTTTCCACAAATGGTCGTAACTGTGATCAAAAATAGATGCAGAATTACGATTCAGATATGCTCAGCAAATCAATTTTTGTGATGGTCAAGGTCAATGATAAGTGTAACACTCATATAGTTCTCGTACTTTCAACAAAACGGTCAAGGTCAGATGAAATGTGCAAGGGCTGAAGCCTCAGTCGATCCTGTCCCAGGGGGTTTTTCCAACACCCTAAAGATGCATCCGTCATTCAGAAGTAATTTTAACGCTATATTAGAACTTTATGAAGATATCATGGTTCACCGCAAAAAAAAGAAAGTCCACATGATGTCTAGAGGTTCCCGTATGCATGCTATTCGAAGCAAAATTCTGGCAACTAATGTAGCTTTTATCTACTTGGTCGCAACGTTTTCAGCAATCCCTCAAAAAAACAAACTTATTACCGTCCCATCCCTATAAATTAGGCTTTTTAGCTTTTATAAGTCAAGAAAAATTATGAGTGCAACGCAAAAATGTGACGATGTCTAAATAGGCGTTTCAAATTAGATGACTCAAAATGATGAAATCAAAGTGACAAAGCTGTAAGCAGTGCGGAAATTACTGGGAAAAACGGAAACTCACTGAGCGAGCGAAAAACCAACAAACGTTTCTTGTAAAAAATTCCAAACGATAAAGTCGAGCAAATCGAAAAAGGCAAATTTGTAATTCAAAACTGGAATCTTAAAACTCCCATTTGGCAGAGCTATAAAAGTGAAGCAGAGAGAGGCACTTATCCCTCTGTACAAATGATTAAGTCTTTATCAAGGAAAAAAAAAAGTTTTTCTGGTACCATGCGAGCCTACCGATGATTTTTCGAAAATTCTTCAAAAAATTTCTTAAGAGGCGAGTGAAGGCACTTTG